CCACAGAGAGTGTTGTGCTGTTTCCAAGTCCCTCTGTCTGAAAGATTACAGCATGGGACAAGCAACACTGAAACAACTTGTTTTGTTCCAGAGGACTCTGAACAGTGATACAGTGAAACTTGGCTCTCTCTACAGTGCTCCATTCAATCTGTAGGCTGAGCACCTAGGGTGGAGCTTTGGCCAAACTACAGGACACCTCCCTTGGATGCCAAAGATTCCTTTTTAAAACTTTCAAAAGGCCCTTTCTGAAATCGCATTATAAAAGTGACTAAATTTTCATGTGTCAGAAGGCCCAGTACTTTCCTTCAAACACAAATTAATCTACAGCAGCTAGGCTGTCACAACAGTTTCCTAAATCCTCCCTCAGCTGTAGTGGAGCAGATGATTTTAAATTAACGTCTCTAAAGGAAAAGCTATCATCTGTGATTCGAAATTCTGACTATGCAACAGGCTGCCATCAGGACGAGGTCTGCCTCTTCCCAATTTGCAGCAAGACACAAGCTCCAGTTCAAAGCCCTCTTCAACACGAAGAAAAACAACACAGTTTAGACAAGCTGTAAACCAGCTCTGTCACTGATCAGAACTGGCCACCATGTGGGCCCTCATTTTATATACTTACAAAATCTTGTTGAATGTCAGTGAAATCTTTTCCATATTTTTCTAGTGCTTCCTCAAAGAGGTTTGCCTCTGAAGCAGACCACTCCTCCATCTCATCTCTGCACAGGACTGGCCCACCTTGTGGCACAAGTGCAGAGATTGCCTTGGAAATGTCATAGACATTTTTGTGCAAAGTGTCCATAGCATGGAACTACATGGTTGTAAGAGAGAAAGATAAATGTAAGGACAAGCATCTAGGGAGAAAAAATGCTTAAGAGTGAAAACAGCAATAACAAAAATTCTGCACCAAGATTGAGGGTGCAGCATTCTATACCTAACACAGAGTCAGTAAAACTCGTTTCGGACTCACTGTGATTGTCAGCGTACAAGACGAGCGTTCACTGACAATAGTGGGGTTTGTGGAACACGAGCCCTTGCATATCAATAATTCCTCCTTAGCTACTCACCAGCATCACCACCACAGCACTACTGTAAAGAAAATGCACAGGACGGAGACCCACTCACCCCAGGACTGAGCAGCCCTGTTAGGTACCATCCACAGAAGATGGGGCATGAAGACAGAGGTCCAAGGGCATATTTTCTAATAAACTAAGCGATGCACTTTCTTTGTTAAATAATCCACAAAAATTGCATGTAAGAAAAATACTTAAGAACGGCAACACACGCCAACAGTCCCCCCAAAGGCCAGAAATCCCAAAGAAGGATTCAAGTCAAGTCACACATCACAGCTGAGTAGGAAAAAAGAATTACTCCCAGGAGCAATTACTCCTCAGAAAGCCGAGCTATGACTGTCTGCAATTTGTGATTTACAAGGGCTGAGAACACATTGCGAGGGAGGAACTGGTATTAGTAAATGAAAGCTTGGCTTTATCTCCTGATTTCTCTAGTTTTAATCAGGATGTTATTTGCCTTTCATCACACTAGTTCTGTGCACGTGCATAATTAATCTACAGTGTTCTATCCTAGAATTTGTTCTATATATGATTTCACATTATTCCAGTTATGAGTTGAGGATTTGATAACAGTTCTCTGGAGACCTCATAAATTTTATGCAAATTTTCATTGAACTTCCTCTAGCATAGAAGTTCAACTGTTCCCATTCCTCTGTCTACTCAGAATCATTTATGATTATAAAATATTAACAATGTCACCACTCCTCAGGTACTCTAAAATGGAGCTCCTCAAAGAGAAGAACTGGATCAACCGAAATTTCTTATCTGACCACAAGCTTTCCCCCAGATGTTCCTGCCCAAGGATGTCAGTGACAGTCTGGTGTTGGGGAAGTGATGAGGAGTTGCATTCTGGCATCATATCATTGCAGACAGGCAGATAATCATTTGTATTCTTCTCAAGACAGCTACTAAGCCCATGCAAGAGATGGGCTGTGAAGCACGTCATTAAAATATTTTAATAAAACAAAACAAAAAATTATCTCAGAATTATCCATGATGGATCACTAAGGCACAAGGCCAGAAAAAGTAACTTCATATGTAAATAAAGGGTTCTTTTACAAAGACAGGATCTGCTTCACAGCAGGCCACAATTACAATCCATCTGCCCCTCTCTCTTTGCCAACTGTTACTGTCGAGGTGAATATTTTGCATCTCTCAAAAAACTTAGGGTCCTCCTAAAAATCTTACCAGCGTGATGTCCCTAGAGGCTGCTGCAGCACTCATGTGCAAACTTGGCTGTCTGACAGAACTACTGCAATCTAGTGCTCGGGCAAACGTACCAACAGACCTGAAAGAAATTAAACAGAGCATTAACTTTGCATGCAAAATAAGCATAAATATAAACACCCAACAAACACTTTGAGATCAGCAGACTCCATTTCTCAGTAACAAGATTACATGGCTTGGCACTAGTTCTGAGCCAGAGACCATCCTCTTCAGATGTGGTCTGTTATTACGAATGCTTTACTCAGTTCATTTGACCAAAGAGGCTTAGGCATAAGAGAGGAAACAGTGAAAGACTGAAGGATCACAAACGGGGAGTTTTCAACTACTCTCTTATCCCTTATCTCTCAACAGACTTAAGCTTCAAGAGAAACTGAGCACAAGCAAGCTTTATGAATGGCAAAATTCTCTTTCACAACAGCAAGAGCAGTGATGCATTGTCCAAAGGTACAGAGACAGATGCCAAGACCAGACAGAAAAAAAATGCAGTAATGCAAACGTCTTTCTAAAAGTTTCGGTAAAATTAAAAGCAATCTTTATTTTACAACTTAGTATTGTTTAATACATATGTTATATAGCCTGTATAAGAATCAGCAGTTCTCGGATATTTCCCAATGCCAACCATCCCTGCACCCGAGGCCATAACCCCCACGCTCCTCATTTTATTCCTAAAGAAATTAGTTGGAGAAACCTTTAACAGGAACAGTGCTTCCAGCAACTCCTACTCCCCTCACTGCTTGCTACACCATATGGGTGAAATGCTTGTGCTCCTGCACAGTGAACTGGAGCTGAACTACTCTGAGAAACTTATAACAACAAAAAAAAGGCAGGTGGTTTGGTTTTTTCCCTCCACTCAGATCACTTACCCAAACTAGTTGAGTGTATGGAGGAACAAACTAGTGCCAAGCAGTGCAGGAGTAAGAAAGGTAAATGCTTAAGCAGTAGCTGCCAGCAAATATATAATGTTGGTCAAAATCCAAAACAGCCTCCTCCACCCAAGTTACCGTGGCGATTCACACTTTGCCCTTTCCCCAGTGTCCCACTATCCCCCATCCCTGCTTCACAACACCCCCTTCCCCAGCTTGAGCTGAACTGATACTTTTTTCTTTGTGTGTGTGTGGCATCTAATTACAGACTAGATCGTTTTGCTGATTAAGGAGAGAAGCAATTTTTATACTGATCATTTCAGTGATTCTCATTACAGCACGGACCTTAAAGTGGCTGTATCAGCAAACCCACTAGGCAGAAGTGAACAGCCAGAACTACTGAAATCAGCTTTGCCACCAAAAGCCTACACAAGGTGGAAACCGTCATCACAAAGCAGCTCTACAGTCTCTCTAAACCAAGCCATGTGAAAACCCCCATCCGTCAGGGCACTTCTAACCTCTTGCTTCCTGCTGGGTCTTCCAGACTCCAACCCCAGAGCGCTG